GATCGTGGCCGTTGTTTCCATGCTCTTCCTTCTCAGCTCTCACACCGGCTTTCTGTGGTTTAGAGCGTTACTGATCGTGGAAACGGAGCTTTGGCTACGCCGGTGGTGGACCTTCGTCTCTCTTACATCTACCAACATGACCCAGTGCCGGCGGTTTGCATTCTGAGCCGCTGCTTCGCCATTACCCCCGACGCCCAGGATCTAAACTTGCTTCGTGATGGCTTCCGAAAGATTCAACCAGGAGTTGGCTTGAGTTGTGAGAATGAACTTACTCGCTAACGATCAAGTCCGGCCTATTGATTGTTTCAGGGGATATTGAAATGCCGCCATTCGATCTTAGAGTACACCCACCCCGGCATTACAACAGCAGCCATTCCAACCACGAACGCAACGATCCACACATAGAAGCTCGCTGTTTTACCCTGACCGTTACACCTGGTAGAGGATCTGTTGCTACCGGTCTCCCCTGACCCCTTATTCTAGGGCAACCTGCCTAGTCATGTCAGGTCTACAATCATTACATCCATACAATGCATACTTGCCCTAGGCGAGATGAAGCGTGCGAATCAGGCCAGAACCTATGGACGATCCGACGACAAAATTGAAACATCTCGTTTACTAAGCTCGTCAGTAGAGAAGACAACAGATGGTCATCGTGATCAGGCGATCGTCTCTTCAAACGACGAAACTTAAGGCACTTCTCCGGCTCCAAGTTTTATTTGCCACTGGTAGACCATGCTCCCTCAACTTCTTCGTTCCACGTCGAAACGACGTGCCTTATTTCCACCATCGTTTGGATACCGGTGGCTCGCCAGTTCACGCCCATTTCTAGATCTGCCTAAGACCATGCAGACTCGGTTCGGTAACGGTGCTTCCTACTACAAAGAGCGGATTCTGCTGTTGGAGTAACGCGACAAAGCTCTCCCCAACGCCTCCCACTGTTATCGCTGGAAGACTTCCCACCCGACGCAGTCTTGAAGATTGCGGGCTCATCATTGCTGAGTTTATTGACGACGTCTCTTGGCAGGTACAGGCCTGAGCATGGAGCAATCGCGCAGCCATCGTCCACTTGAACGAAGCTCGGCAGCGTCTGGATCCTCGGGCTCAATAGCACTTGGAGGTTACTTCCATGAGTGAGAGAGCAACCCACGCTAGTGAAGTGAGGGCGTGACTGCTGGTGTCTGTATCAACTCACCCGTCCGATTACACGAGCCAAGGCGTTGATGGCACCGATAATCTTTTATAGATTGCACCTCTTATGGATAAGACAGAGCCTAGCCTCAAAAGTATTGGGGATTCTGGTGTAGTAGGTGCTTACAGAGGGAGCGAGGCTGTCCGCCTAACCTTTACCATTTGTCAAATCCCTATCCCCGGGCCATATCGCAATGCTACGAACTCCAAGGCGGGTTTGATGAAGTTATTCGGAATTGCACGAAGTCAGTAGAGAACCTAGGGCTCTGCTTCAAGGAGACCTCTGGAAACCAACTCTGGAACCTTTCATCGATTGCTACTACATTGACACTGAGTACATGATCTCCGCACACCCGACTACACTCCCCGGACCCATGATGTACCCGACGATGATGATACAACGACCCGACACGCGCGAGACTGTATAAATGACTCTCCAACGCTCAGGGGTGGTAGCAGCCCACGAGGCACGCGGCCGTTCTCGACTTGAGTCAGCACATTGAGCATCGGCCACGCCCTTCCATTGTTTTATCTCGGTACCGTTTCTGTATCGAGGTCGAGACCAGGACCCTGCCCATAGTCATAGTCCCAGGGCTATCTCCGATGGTTACTTGGTCGAGTTGTCGGATGAAGCTACCCAACACATTGAACACCGGCGCCGTACTTTTCTTCGGCAGAGTGCCACTGGGCCGCCGCATTATGGCAATGACGGATAATACTTTGAGCACGGAACTGTGGAATCCCTCATCGCGCCTTGTCAGCGCCAACGCCACGGCTTCACGCTTTCGTCTCGGCGGCTTCCGCTCTGAAGCACCATCCAATCTCTCAAGACGAGAATAAAGACATCGCACTGCGCTCAACGCGTGCTCTATGTACGGAGTCGAAGCTGTTGCGAACAGGAAGCACGGCTGCACGGGGTTAGGCTCGGAAAGTCTCTGCAATGACTTATCCTCGAAGCTAGCACCCTGAGCTACGCGCAAGCCTCAACTCCCCTGTTGTTCTTCATACCGTGCCGGCCTCTTGACGATATCGACCAATGATCACGCCAACTCAATCTCCTCGATTACTGTCTTTGGCATGACCTTTAACCTCGAGCTCATCGCCTACCCTTGGGCGAGCGTAGACAACCCTGGACAGAACCAAGGCTCCAGCGTCGAAGTGATGATAGGATGATTAGTGCTAGGACCGTAGTTCCCCTTGATGCTAAACGCTGAACCGTGACCCTGGCCGTAGAGTATCTCCGCATACTGTTTGAGCAGATGAGTGTGTACTTGGAAACATTAGCACGTCGAGAAGCATTAGAGTAGGGGCCAAGAAGATTAGAACTTCTGTAAATCCGGTGAGCGTTTCAGTAGTTGGGTATGATTATGTAGGTATATGCCAATGACACCCCATGTGATCTCTGGCAGAACGCCACACCCTCATGTAGGCGTCGTGATTGGGCTCGATTATGTAAAGTCATCAACGTCCAACATGTCTTTCAGACATCAGATCATCTTGCCAAGCATTACCATACTTGGATGTGCCGTAGGGTTGTCGTGGGGGTCTATCGGTGTCCCTGTATAGGGAGATGTTAACAGCCCTGAGATGCCACAGCGGTGATGGCCACGTCTCAGCAACCGCCAAGTCGGCTGAGGATGGGCTTATAGAAGCTAAGATAAATGTGTCTTTTTCACAGTCTCGTCTTCTTGATATTGGGGATCGTTTCTCCCTCTACTACACACGAAATGCTCGTCTGGGTGTGCTATGTTCGTTTGCAAGATAGACTCGAGATTGTCAATGTTGAATGTGCTATGGAATGTCTTCTTGCTGTCCTAAATAGAAATAAGAGACCCCATAGAATTCCTCGTTGTTAACCAAGTCTAGAAACCCTAATGTTGATTAGGTAGGACATGACAATTCTCAAACGTGCCATATGCTGTTGCCGCCGTGGTGCGCAGCATGCCTCACCGCGTTGCTCATAGAGTCATTGCTCGTATTCTTTCACCGGCGCCTCGCCTATACCGCAGCTTCCTGTAACCCACAACATCTCGCCCTAGCTTTGGACATCTACATCACAATTGGCACCCAAGTTGCTTCCCCTGGCTCCTCTCTCTTTGCTTCAAATTGCATCTCCCTAAGTCAAGCCGAGGAACAAAGATGGTACCCATCCGGGATGGAAACAAACACGATGAGCCAGGCTGCAACATGATTATTCTTAACAGAAGGTACTTCCAAGGAAATGATTCATTCGTGAGCTGTGCCTTTTGACGACATGGGTGGATTGCAGTAGCTACTATCAGCCCTACCCCAGTGTCAGAGAACGATATCCCGGTGGCTGGATTCGGAACATACCGATAGCGCCACCTTTCAAGGTGATGGGGCTTTTTGATTCAGCACCGATCTTGTCCAAGGAGCCACCATGGTCCAGCTCACTGAGAACTAGAAGGCATATGTGACTCGAGACTTGATGCCCTATGCCACCAGGCTCAAGCTGTTTCAGTCTGACCCCAGGCGTGCCAGGTCAGTCACTGCAATACGCGCTCCCAACGAGATTCATGACCACTTTTTGCAGCACCGTACTTGCTTTCAATTGAGAAGTGACATGCCCATTGGGAACCATCTCTGTCATAACGACCTGAGGCAGAGCAATATCATCATTGACCCTCAGACACTTGAAATCAACGCGACAATCGACTGGGAGTGTGGAGACTTTTGGCCTTGGTCGGTTGAGCCGCACGATTGGAGATGAAATGCGTTTAGCGACCCCCTTCATGGCGAGTGTGACAACAGGAATTGTTGCGGGGAGTGGCTTGAGACTCATTGTGATAAGGTCGTCATTGAGCAGCTGCTGTCCTTTGAGGAAGATGCTGGCTCAAATCAAAGAGACAAAGCGTAGCAAATGAGTCATGTCCCTCTCTTGACATATTTTTCACGACTATAGATAGAGCTTGTAGTAGATTTTCGCCCCCTAATATGATCGGCTCATAGGTAGGTCGTGATATATGCAAACTCTCCATGGGGAGTGAAGTATTGAGCATACTCAAGTCTTGAAAAAGCCCAAAAGGAGTTCCGGTGCGTAATTCTAAGGCTCTTGGAGCAGAAGTGAGTGCTCAAGATCTGTAACAGGTGGAAGAGGTATCATATCTGGTATAGGCAAGCTTGAGACATTCTGCATCTTTTGCTCCTCCTCGGAATCATTCTTCCCGTTTGGAAACTTTGGTGGCGTGATCATTTCCTCTGTCAGATGAAGAATTCTCGGTATTGATGGAAGTTCAAAGTGAGATGGCTTCGCCGAGGATTTGGGGTTTACTGATTTCGGTGGCGTGATTGGTAAAAGTGGTCGAGTTCCAAGGGTAAACTTTTTGCCAGAGACAAGCGTTGACGATAGGTCTACCTTTTTGTTGATTGTGAGAAAAGTTTGCTCTTCATGTGACGCTCTCGAAAGGAGGTCGCTCCTTTCTTCTACAGTCAAAAGGGGATGACTTGTGGGCGGTTTAAACGAGAACTCGAATTTGCCAACGCCTGCCAAAGTTGGCTCTTTTGCTGGAGGTGGATCGAACGAGAACTTAAATTCACTGCTGGATCCTAAATCTGATCGGTTCTCAGTCGGCAACTTAGAACTAAATTCTGGCACTCTGTCTGTTGAAATATGCGGCTGCTGTTGAGAGAGCGGTGTGAACAACAAATCAAATTTTGGGTTTAAGGTTTGTTCCTTTCTCAAATCTGATGGGTTTTCATGAGGTGTTTTCGGACGGAAATCAAATCCTGTTTCTCCCCTTGAAGCCAGTCGACTGTCAATAGGCGCTTGAAAAGAGAAAATGGCCTTGTTATCTGTTCTCGCAGCTGGACGATTTTTATCCGAGTCGTTTAGCGAGAAATCAAACTGGGTCTGAGGTTGGATCCTTTCCATGGTCGATGAGAGAGTCTTTTGCCCCTGCCGCTCGAATAAAATGGATCTAGCCCGGCCATTGGAGCTTGGCTTTCCGGGACTGTTAATGGCCCGCTGTGGTGATGGGGTAGGTGGTGGAGTTAGGAAGTTCGAAGCTGGTTTCGTTGCCGGTGGTGTCTGGAAGCAAAAGTTCAACCCGGTGCCAACTTGGAATTCTCTTGATGACTGCGAGAGCTTATTCTGGTCTTCGTTCTCCAGGAACTTCTGCTCGGCCTGGGTATCAGAACTGGGTTCTGAATGTTGTTCGGGCGTGCGAGTCTGTGTAGGCGGAGATGAAGAGAGAACTTCAGATGTCTGAGGTTCAAACGTGGAAGTCCAGGGGACTTCGGAATTCAGCCCAACTTCGAAATGATCATTCAATATTGGCAATTCTTGGCTTAAGCTCGATAGCTCGAAAGTGCCTGAATATCTTTCCGAGCTAGTAGGTGTTCCGTTTTGAGAAACTTCAGCTTCGGGTGCATCGTCCTCTTCAATTGGCAGTTTCGATGCCGTCTTTGTGAGTATAGATGCCTTGTGCTTCCTAAGTAAGTTATTGGCAGTGATTGGCTCGTCCATTTTGCTCATTTTCTCGATCGTGTCTCTCCAATCGCTGTCGATAGTACCACTCGCGTCGTATATTGTTGCTGATTTCATGAGTTCTGCCCAGTCTGCCACCACCTGGGTTGCTCTCTCTTGACTGACTTCGAACCATTCCTTGTGACTCTTGCCGCATCCTTTACACATTCGCTCTGCGCGCCACTCTGTTGCCAACTCATAGTGTGTCAGAGTCTCGGCTCTCTGGGCATAGGGAATATCGTGAACACTAAACACTAGGTTGGGCTTGTAGCCGCATCTGGACCAGCTTTCAAGGCGGCCCTCGACTTCCAGCGAGGTCCAGCCAATCTTGACATAGCCCGGGGAAGAATTCCTACTGAAGATGTATAGGGAGCCTGTCTTGAAGTCTCTCGCGAAGCGGTCTTTCACAAGAGGGCTCAGAAGCTTGGACATTACGTTCTCGTCAGGCTCCTCTTTGTGGGGGCGGAAAGTTGAAAGTGGTAGCCGAGGTCTTGGGTTGGAGTTGGCTATGCCTTTGCCTTTATCCCCAAGATCATTGCGACGTCGGAGATCATAGCGTGGTTCGGTTTCCTCTAGGTTCGCGTCGTGCTTAATGAATTTCAAACATTCTTCAGAACTCTGTGGGTTGGATAGCAGGCCGGCAACAAATTCAGCTGCGGTTGAGATGGATCGTTGAGTGTCTATGATCGTAGCTAGTTCGGAAGGATGTGTCGTCGTTAGAGGACTAACGAACGGGGCGATCGTTGCCCCTGACAAAGTGGCACTATGCTCATCCTTAATTGCAGGAGTTGAACTACGGGGATTCACCCTGCTGGTTGAACGTCGCTGCCGGATCTCATCTAGCCACCTCTCGGCCAAGGATGTTAAAAGGCCGATATCTTCGATACTATTCTGATGGCGAGTGCCTTTAGGCTTTGGTCCGCAGCAATTATACCTTGCATAATCTTCAAGGACTTCGAGGCTCGGAAGCTCAGTATCGGGCGTACGACTGATCTGATCATAGAGGTCGATGGCCCGCTTGTTGTCTCCTTCTTTGCAGTCCCAACTACATCTTTTCTCCTTTTGAGTATAAAAGATGCATTGCCTCTGTTCACGCGGATCAAGCTCGTGAAATGGAACAAAGAAGGATGCGCCGGGGGCGAATACCATGACAGCGGCCGGTTTCTGATCGTGATCGTCTCGGGTCTCTGTCCAAGGCTACTATGGTAGCTCGTTTCTGCCCAACCACCATAAAAGTGCAGCACCTGGTCTCGGTCCCTGGATCAAGGGGAATGCGGGAGAGGAGCGGTATACTAGAATGGAGCAAGCGCGCCGCTTATCTCAAAGCCACGGGCTAGTATCAGAGGGAAAGGGCTTGACCGTGAGGCATATTTCGAAGAGTAAAGTGCAATCATTCGATATTGGGCGCACCTCAGCCGCAGCAGGGCGCAGCTGAATCCATGCCAAGCAGAGCCAACCAATACTGTTATCGCTTACGGCTTATCGGCGATCGCATTTCATTGGCTTCTCCGCAACGGGGATAATTGATCAACCTGGACGTGGGATACCATAATTAGATTCGGTTTTCTCGCTTTTGGTAGGAGTAATGGCGGGGACGGGGAGCTGTCTGGTCGCCGGGAGCCGTGCGAGAGAGAAGAAGACGGGAAATGGCGTTGTGCGAGCTTTGAACTGGAAATACGGGCACCTAATTGGCTGCAAAGAGTCGATGCTCAGCGCCGAGCCAGGTTGTCGGGTTCGTCTCAATGCAACGTAATGTTACAGAGCAGAGCGGTCAGTTGGCGAGAGGCAAAAGCACTCGAGATGTTTGGTTGAGCCGAGGGAAGCACAGGACGTCATAGATTGGCAAGTGGCGGCAGGTGCGATGGCTGATACGAGCTTGTGCTGTCGCCTCGCGTGATTGAATGCACATTCGGTAAGACATTCACTTTCTAGCTCTTACAAGAGCCTATAAGTTAAGGGTCGGTGGCTTCCAATCGTTACAACAGAATTATTTGCTGGCTACAGCTATATTCATTGAATGTCTGCGCAGGCTCCGTCCAAGACATCCAAATCTTGCATTTACAACTCGAGCGATCCCGTCTCCGAAAACCAACCGACTGTGTACAGCTACACGGCTCTGAATTTGTGTTAAAAATCGAAACAGTTGCTTGCGCAAGCGTGCTACTACTGTTCCATTTCCCCTGTCTCTGAGGTAATGTGAGTTTCACTCTTCGGTCGACAATGTCCCACCCAGCCATCGGATGTGAACAACTGTCACCAATGTGAAGTCAGACATACATGTACATGTGCAACTGGCGAAGATAAAGCATTTCATGTTCAATGAGTAATACAGGCACTGATACAAGGACTACAGGCGGCCGTCTCCCCCAACACACGCGTAGTTGAGCAAGTCCAGCTGTTCAACAGAGAGTACACCATCATCCGTTGTAACGAATAAAACAATTACCAAGTTACACGCTCAAGTTACTCACCGACAATCACTTAACACGACTCGCTTGTTGCGGCACGCGTTCTGGCCGCGCGCTGGTTCGTGCTCACCTGTTTAGGAAGGAGGCGGCTTGTTTCCACCGCGCGATCGATAAGCCCAACCACCAGCGAAGCCAAAACCCTCCACGCAGCCTCCTTTTTTACATTCCTGACAAGGCATCCCTTGACTTCAACCCACCACGGCCTTCCATCCGGTTTATCCATCCCCATCAGGCCACCATTCCCCATCACGTTACTTGTTGGCCGCCCACGGAGCTGTCGGGAAGATCAGCTACCGAAAGTTCCCAAGGCCGCGATCCACTCTTTGCCGATATCGCAGATTGAAAGGGCTGGCTTCCCCTGAACCGCGGCCTGGAGTGTTCTCAACACCACCTCCAGCATCCCCAAGCGGTATCGCACAGCAGCCGAGGCCCATCCGAAAGGTCGTGGCTTCAACGCAGCTTTGACGAACAAGAGTCCCGATGATGGCTGAGGAGCGCCACTACTAAGCCCCTGATTTCAGCTTATCTGTTCTTATGCGACACGGTTAGGTGGATGTTGGGTTTCGGAGAGTTTGATTGAACTTGACATTGATTGCCCCGATCCAGAGGCCAACGGATCAACAAATCCTGCACCATTGACCTCCATTCCCTTGGACGGCCCGGACTACCTTCAATGACGTCTGATATGGCTCCTGCAGACAAGGCTGTTAGTAACATGACCTTGGATATGGAAGCATCAAAGTGGACCAAATACCAAATTCGTTCAGCATCTGCCGCTAACCGGGAAAGGGTCCCCCAACAGAAAGAGACCTCTACGTCTGTTTCTTCTCTGGCTTCTCGGAACAACAGCTTCGGCGGAAATCCCCAGCCCGCTAGCGAGCCGCCTGCCAGGTCAAGGTATGGCTCCGGCGTCGGCGTCGGCGCCGCCAACCAGAGTTCATCCACCAAAGAAAACGGCCATACATTGCCAGAGGTCGTCAATGGTGAGAAGGCATCTCTGGCCGCCAAGAAACAGGAGGAATATCCGACAATCTTCCTGTATAGCTATGTGCAATCCCACGCACCTTACCACGTCCAGAGGTGGATACCGCCGGCTCAGATCTTCGACATGACGTTTGACGAGCTGAAGGCAGTGCTGCCGCTTAAGCTCATCGAGGGCCACATCCTGACGTTCACTTTATTCTCGGAGCCAACGGGGATGATGTACCGCGTTGGTACTGGTACCGATTCAGGATATGACTGGGTCAAGGAGAGGTTTCGTCAAGTTGTGAAAAACTTTATTGAAGCCAGAGGGACGAGAGATCTGCCCAACCTCTTCTACATCCGGGTCGAATAATTTGGATCTGTGTCGGGTCAATCGATCCAAGAGCGGCTGAACAAGCTGCTGCCCGGGCGGCCCATGAAAGGAGACTGCAAGCCGAGAATCGCACCAAGATACCTGAAGCTGATAAAACGGAGACCGACGAGGGACCCGACATCTCAATGAAAGATGCCCCAGTCACCAACGGCGATGCCAGTGACACCCTTCCCCCACAGGAGAATGTTAACCAGCAGATGGACGTTAATGAAGAGGTAGCGCTTTCATTGGTGAGGGAGGATCAGACATAGACACATGAGGTGTTGGCGATTGAAGCGTATGGGCCTGGGTCGAATCAATAGACTGTAAGAACAAGCAACAGAGTTGCGGAGATGAGGCAAGCATAGCGCTTGAACGAAGCAATGACAAGTTAACAATTCATGAATAGATAGACCTTCCAACCTTCAGAGTTCTAGTCTTCAGATTGACATTCATTGATGACCTCTGCCGGCTAATGGCCAGGCGTTACGCCTAGTTGTTTCCGACCCAGGAATCTCACGTGTGATTAGACGTCCAATGGAGCATCGGATTACAAGTAGAGGTGATCTTGGTTGATTGACGTCGCTATTTGGATGGAGTTGTCTTGATTTGTGCGAAGGGAAAACACCGACATGCTCTGATCATTTGCCATTTGCCCCTTGGTCCCGGTGTCGCTGAATCGTATATTCTCGAATCGCAAGCTTGATTTTTCTGGAATGAATGGGGAACGGCCGGATGTTCCGGCAGAGGAGGGGCGATGCTGGTTCTCCGATCTTGTCAGCCTGGCGTGACTTCGGCGTGAGGGGGAACTGGGTCTGTCCTGCGACTCCAAACCGTTTGGGTTGTCGGGTCCGACAGCTTAGGATGTCGGCACCGCCAGCTTGGGAAACGTGCACGGGACAAAATGTTCGCCATGTAACCTCGTGCGGCTCCCCCAGGTCTTGGTAGAGGGCGGGAATATTTATCCGGATGCATGTTGACGATGCATGATTGATCGTCGGGCGAGGTGCATGATGGCAAGCAGCGCGTATAAAAGGTCGATGGGTTTCCCCAGAAAAGGCTTCTTGGATTCCATTGAAGCTGAGATTGGTGTGAAGACTTCCACTGGCTTAGAAACCACAGCTTCCCTCAAATTCTCAGCCCTTTTTAGCGAGTCAAGCCGGTAATATGGGATCCTCCAACGTTGAACATCCCAAGACGGCCATCGTCACTGGCAGCGCCAGGGGAATGTGAGTGTATTCACCCTGTCATGCTCCGGCCGAGTAATCTCTGATAGCTGTTGCGGGTAGCGGCAAGGCAATCGCGCTCAGGCTAGCAAGCGACGGGTACGATGTTACCATTGCCGATATACCGGCCATGTCGGCGGAGGCAGAGGCAACAGCCAAGGAGATCGCGGCGCTCGGTCGGAAATCGTTCGTGGCACTCGGAGACGTGTCTGTTCGGGCAAACGTGGAATCAATCGTGGCGCAGCATGTCGAGAATGTCGGGCCGTTGTTCACGATGATTGCCAATGCAGGGATTTGTGAGGTCAAGTCGGTGCTGGAGGTGTCAGAGGCAGACATCCGGAAGATGTACGACGTCAACGTATTCGGGGTTTTCAATTGCTACCAAGTTGCTGCTAAGCAATTGATCAAGCAGGGCACCCCTGGCCGACTTATTGCAGCATCGAGGTGAGTGGTGATCCCGATCTGTGCTGTGAACAAAGTATCGTTGCTAAGATCAGCATCGCCGTATATAGCATCGTGGGCTTCAAGCCGTTTGTGAACATGGTGAATTACAGCTCGAGCAAATGGGCTGTGCGGGGTATGACGCAGGGATTCGCGATGGAGATGGCACAATACGGCATCCGAGTTAACGCGTATGCTCCTGGCATCCATGCGACCAAGATGTGGGAGCAAATCGATGGTTCTCTGGGAAAGTTGGAAGGGAGGGAGCAGGGCGAGAGTCTGAAGAAGTATTCCAAGGACCTCATCGCTTTAGGTCGGACGGGAGAATCTGAAGATGTTGCCAAGTTGGTCTCCTTCCTTGCCAGCGATGATAGCGAGTACATAACCGGGCAAAATATTCTCGTCGACGGTGGAATTGTCTTTACATAGCTCGTAGAGAGTCGAGCAATTGAACAATTGAATCCCAACTCGCTGGCGTGCTCGCGACAAGCATCATGAGGTTGGTACTGCCATTGCCGTTGGTATTACTATCACCGTTGATATTGCCATCGCCGTTGATATTGCCATCGTCGTTGGCTGTCGCTTTCGAGGAGGAAATGGGAAGGCTCAATGCTTGAGCAGGAAGTATCGTGTAGAAAGCCTCTGACGAAACAGCGTCAGAACGCCTTGATAGGCTGGATTGGCTTTCGGAGAATGTGCGCAAGTTGTTCAAGAAAAAATTGTGTCCCTCGGCTCTGATCGGATGGGAATTGGTGTTGGTAGAATGTGTCATTGCGGTCGCGCATTTCGGTTCGATATTTTTTTCGTCGCGCTATTACTGGCGGCACAGACCTAGATAAAGAGTTATTAGGCGCGCAATCTTTTGTCTAAATTTTCATCATCTTACATCGCTCGTCTCGCCGGGGAGATAAATCTGGCGTCGGGGATACAGGACCCTGCAGGTCGGTCCTTGGTGAAGCGTAAGCATCGTAAAACAAGGAGCATCGGGTTATTAAAATCTGTGGCGGATCGGACGCTTCGAGTCGATCGGGTATATTTTTAATATATAAAAAGAAGACCATGGCGGTGCAATGACAACTGCAATTGCATGACTGTTGTTTCCAATAAGGAATTTTCCAGGAATTGAAAAGTTCTGAGGAAGACTGAGCTGAGGAGTCCAGCTGGCGCAGAGGAAGGAGCGACAGCGGCGGGAGGTACACTGCCAACGCCACTTACGAATTACAGGTACCGTGGACGGTAGAAGGCACCTACTACAGCCCACTCATACCTAAACCACCGGCGGCCGGCAGCATTTGATATCGCAATGCGAGCTTGGTGCACAAAGTTTTCCAACAGCCGCCGGTGCCCATTTAGCGCATCAATTGATTCTATCCGACGGACTAAGATAATTCTAGTGTGGCGATTACACCCCGTAAATAACCAGTTTGGGAACGCGAGGGATGTTCGCAGGGGCTGGCCCAAGGCTTAAAATGCTACACCAAAACCGAGGAGCACCAAGAGCTGTGATATCTCAGCAACGCGCATTGATGCCTCCGTGAACACTCATGAGTTTCAGAGCGGCCAGGACACCTACGTTACTGGAAATTAGGTAAGGTAGGCAGCGCCACCGTTGTGGCTTTTTCAGAGCGCCACAGTGACCCAAAACAGAGCTGTTGCGTCATGAGGTAGCGCTCCGAAGTCGCTGAGACCGTTGGTGTTCGCGGTACCTGTTATCTGCACTATCGTAGGGCGCTGCTTCGTTGATTTTGGGTTCTGGTACTTCCACCCCACTTGTACGCTGCATTGGCCAATGGCAAGCCTCAATTCAGGCTATTCGAAGGATACCCTAGAGATATGCCGGCGTGATATCGGCGTCTTCTACGAGGAACCGCGAAGCAACACATATTGTAGGGCAACAACTAGGTTGTGGTTTCATTGGGTTATGCGCATCTCTTGATCATTATCTATAGCGATCTCTAGGTATGAAGTCTGACGAGATGTACTGTGACACGGTGCTGGTCTGCGCTGTCGTTGCAAGTAGGTCATTTGATTTCGGCTGGCAGAGAACAAGAGAACAACGAGTTTGTTCGACGTGAGGGGCATGCGCTCCTCCCCCAAATTTTGGTTCGGGTTACACAAAGGAAAAATTTCCCGCTCGCTTTCACCGATGTCTCATACTGCAGCAGGCGTATGCATCTCGGTGCCTAGGCGATAGCGAGCGACCAATTACCACCCATCGTGATATCGAGCCTTTCGTAAACGAGATTGCGTAAAACGAGACTTGCATCAACGGAACTTGTGTGTCTCGCGGAAAGCTACTGGAAAAATGATGGAACACGTCATAATCCCACCCACGATGGGAAATCCGTTGCAGCTGGCTACTGTGAGGGGAGTGCGCAAATGAACGAGAACAAGGATCATGGTACGTTGGGAGACACCGACGCAGCCTTGTTCGTTTGGATGCCACCACACCCCCTCCCGCCACCCGCTGGGAAGATCCCACAGCCGTCCCAGACCGCTCTCTCCCGCCCCTCCCTCCACTGCCTGCAAGCTGCAGTCAGAGAGGGTACATCGCGGAAATTCAGATTGGCTAGCCGAGATTCTAGATTGTCGAAGCTGCAGGCGGCCGCGGGCGCCTAGAACAAGCCCATTTCCGAATCGCTTCCCGCCCGCATGCATGGGTGACTGGCCCCGCTCGACGCCTTACGGCTGAGGGAGAACACTGGTGCGCGAACTAGGATTTCGGGGGTATGAGGCTTAGATCGTCGGAAAATTTGAGACATATCGACCTAGGCTCCGTGGATATGACCTAGACCGCTTGGCCATGTGTGTAAGATGGGCCGGGGGAGGGGGGAAAGGAAACTATCTTGTTTCCACAGCGGCTGGATGCTGGATGCGGAAATGCCGTTCAAGGCTGGGCAGCGTGCCGCGCCGCGTGAGCAAGATATTACGATGCTACCTCACAAGGTTCGAGACACTGTTTTGCTTTCTTTTTTTGACGGAGGGTGCAAGCCGTGGCGTTGGGCAGCTGACGGGCTAGTAGCCAGTCATCAGCTCTGCTGCCTGGGCTTGAATGCATCCATGGCGTCCTGCAAAGACGGCTCGCAGTGCCACCCCAAAAGAAGGGAAATGTCTCAGTGTATTACAACATACTGCTGTCGTGTCTGCGAGACAATGGATGGTGGCTGCATGTCAAAATGTGATATGAGAGGCTCAGCCAATGGGCCTTCTTTTTTTGACATGCCTGTCCCAGCTGGAGGCGACGTATGTCCCAGTATCCACGGAGAAGAGACTGCACAGTGTCTGAGAACACCCAATGGGCTCGTGTTCACCCCATGCCTGTTTTTTTCTTGATGGGGGATGCATCCGAAAACTTTTGGGCAAAAGCAAAAGCATGTTGACATGAGAGCAGCCAATAGGGGCAATCTTACTTGACATGCCTGTCCTGGGTCTGGGGACTAGGGGCCCGCCAAGCAAGTGTTGGGGAGGAAAGGGCATACCCATCTGAGGAAAGAATCTACTGAGACGCCTATGAAGGGTTATCATCCGGAGAGGGAATATGCACATCAATGTGTTTGCTCAGGAAGTGTGCGTGGGCCTACCTATGCTGAGGAGGAACTGATGGAGTTTAGTCGCGCTGGGCGAACGCCCCGCGGTCGAGCCTCCTGCGAGTCTGAATAACGGGATATTGGTTGCCCAGCTGAATACTCGAATCTGAGGGGAAAAAGGATATGCCCCAGATCGATGACGTTCAATTGAATGCATCGACAGAAGGCTTTGCTAGTTCCCATCTGCTTTCAGAGTCAGTACAAAAGCCCGGCTCTCGGACGCTCGTCCAACATCAAGGCCAACTCACCACTCCATTCCCCCTACACCCATCATACAACTTGGCAATACTACCCCTTAAAAGATACTTCTCGCGACCCAAATCACTTCACAATGGCTTTCGAACTCGGCGTTGTTATGAGGGATGTCCACGCAGCACTCGCTGGACACCCGTACCCCGTCATTATGTGGGGAGAAGAGGCATTGAGAAGACTTGGCGCACCAATCCCGCCTGGATTGGACCATGTAAGTCACCTACCGTCGCGCTGCCCCTCCAAAATGGTACCCCGACTGTGACACTCGAGCCTAACTGAACGGCCTATGCAACTAGGAAATCATGCTGGTGTTAGAGCCCTGCCATATGGAGGACGCTGCTCAGCGGCTCGAAGAATCACGGTTCAAACGCGTAAACTGCTCATTTGGGATCCACGCAAATGACCGCATCCCTATGCACGCCGCAGTCAAGAGGCAGATCGCGCACGACTTCAACACCTTCGATGATTGGTCCGAGCACTACGTTTGCACGCGCGAGCACACCTCCATGAAGGAGACGATCAAACTGGCCCTCATCCCGACGACGTACGCCCACATCAGCACCAGGCAGCACCCTTTGGATGACTTTGACCATATGTTCGGCATTTACTGGCCCAAGCCCGCCAGGCTCATGATCAGCTTCGTTGAGACAGTGGTAACTGGGCCCATGAACGGCTGCTGGAAGCGGCTGCTGATCATGTGGGCGGGCTACTGGCTGTACCAAGGGAAGAGGCTGCCCGTGACAGTCATGAACAACTCCGACAACGAGAATGCTAGGGCATACTTTGAGTCCTTCATTCGGCACATGCAGTTTTACCCGTGCCAGCCTCCTGTTCCGGGCATGGAATTCCAGTTTGTGGGTGTCCGCGTCCCACAATATCTTATTAATTGAGTGACTGTCTGGCCTGGGGAATGGTGTGCGGGTTCTTCAGTGTGGGGAGCCTCGAGTAGGTAGCTTCTTGTCGCGGGGGGGTGAAATGCAAATCTGGTTTCCTGTCTCATAATATGCACCGTGAAAATTGATGGATTCGTAGCTCTGCGGCCGTTTCGACGGACCTCTAGCCAAACGGCGACAAGGTTAAAAAAATAAAGTGGACGGGGTGAGACTGTGCGAGGTACTTGGCAATACTCGCCGATCCGCGAGCCGTAAATCTGGATGGGGATCGGATCCTGGAGCCGATGGGCCATGATCTCCCTGCCGAGGCGTTAGTCTATCAACTGCTGGGCTGGAATGGAGTCAAATGGAGCGTCTCACTCATGGACTCACTCGTGGACTCAGCGATGGAGCGTCAAGGCAGCCAAGACACGGCACGTCCTCACCGGGCGGGCTGTCTCGCGGGCTATTGGTCCAGGGCGTGGTAGTCGGCCCAATGCACCATGCCGATGTCTCTCAGCTGGTCCTGTAGTTTCTTTTTCAGATGCGTGATTAATAAAAAGTGCAATCAAAACGCATGGTCGGCCGGCCTCAGACCCAAGCCTTGCGACCTGTCAGGTTTCGCTGGGCATCCTCGCAGGCAATGGCGGGCGCACAGGATGCACGAGGGCGAAGGAGGAGAGGAGAGGAGTGGAGAGGGAGAGAGATGGACGGCTGGGGAGCAGGGGACCACTTTTCTGTGCCCATTTCCTTTTTCCCTGGGGTGCACTTTTGCCCCAATAACACAGTGATGTGATTGAGGAGAAGCGCCTGCGACACTCCCACACACGCGTTGCATCCAGCTGCGTCCAGTCGCGTCCCAGAGCAAGCCACCCATTTCGGGGCCGTTGCTTGCACTTTGCGCATGCGTGGACTGACATGCCTGGGCACAACACATGCGGTGAGGGGGAGCCAGACAGACTAACGGGTGTTGCATCGCCCATCCCTCAGCTCTGCGCGGGACAATGAGACATGCTTGGGTCTATTGTTTTGGCCTGTCTCGGGGTTGTCCGACCCGGATTATTGCATCCTCGTGTGCGTATCTCGACCGAAAATTAGGGGATTCAGCTAGGCTCAAGTGTCCACTGCGCGGAAGTGGCCCGAAGCGGCCCCTCTCACCCACGCGTAGAGCTATTATGCTTAGTTAGTATGGACTCGTGAAATATGGTGATCCGGGGAATAATCATGGCATGGCATGACGTGCAGCTGGGCAGCAAACCACGGCCGGTGAGTCTGGGCCGATGGATTTGTTGAGAGCTCGTCGCTTGGATGCAGTCTGGCTGCACGACGCTGTTGTGATGCAATGCAGCCTCCTGCACCGCCAACGCAGCAAAAAGAAACCTCATTATTGCGTCTGATGGAGGGTGTCAGAAGCATATTGTGCCAGAGGATGCGGTTAGTCGGTCCCCTGCCAGCTGCCAGAGTGCAGCAAGCCACCAAGCCGTAAGACGGAGAATGTTGCGTTTCTGGTGGAGCTGCGTCTCGCCCCACGACCAACCACGACCTTGTTGCACAAGATGCACGCCCAACCGACCAGCACGGTGCGGAGAGCCATGTATCTGACCGCCCTGATCCAGGTATCGGTGCTGTTCCCCTCGGTTGCAGGAACATCGCTCGCGACAGGCTTGGAGGACGCAATCGATCCCTGGCCCCAGGTCCTCCCCGGTCGGAGCTACTTGCAGGGTACCGGCCTCGAGGTGCAGACGACTCGGCAGCCTCACTCAGGGCGAGACTGCACAATAATCTGTTTTTAGTCAACAATAGCAAGCCGAAACGACTAGATTCCTTGCCTGTCCTTGTTTTTGTGGCAATGAGCGGCATGTTGCATCACCGCGAGTGACTTGGAGGCACCGCACTGGCTGTTGTCATTTTTTTTTCTTCTTTTGCGTGCATAGATTGTGAAATCTCGAGTTCAGAGTGACTGCAACAATGTTGCAACGGTGCCCTCGCTCTGCCCGTTGGTCTTTTGCCTTCCAGAGGGTTCCTCCTTCCTCCCTCCTTCTTCGAGTCCCGGGCCGAGCATAAAGACGGCTCCTCGTCCTCCTCACCCCAAATTCTTTTCTTCCTTTCTTCCTCGTGGCCGCATCTTAATATTCAATGGAACTCGATTGCATTAGAATTCTTCTTTCTCATTTGCATTAGAAGTCTTCTTAATCATTTATTATTCTTTCATTTTCCCCTTCCTCCTTTCTGGGCAAGCCGCCCTCATTTCGTTTCATCTCCTTTCACCTCATCTCCTTCGTCCTGGGTCGCATATATATAGGCCACCGGCTCGGGTTCCATTGAAGGTTTCCTTCCGTTCATTAGACTGCATCCATCCTAGACCATCATTGCTACTAGACTTGCTTCTTTTGTCACATTTGCATATCTGGTATATATATCTGCCTTCGTCTCTGTGTATACACCTCTGTTGGGTTTGTGCATAGCCTGACCCTTCCATGGAGGAGGCGGCAACTTTCATCTGGAGTCTATACGTCCCTGCTGCACTTACATACCTCTTTGTCTATACCTGCATTTCCGAAGTGTCTCTCTCTTCGTGCATATACTTCTGTTGCACCATTGCCTTTCACTTCTCCATTTGTCGCATGTTTCATGCTCACGACTCCCTCCTTACTGGCATTGTTGCCCTATAGGCTTTTGAGCCTGTCTGTCTCCTGCGAACCGTTACACCCTACCGCAGTTGAGATAGATCGGTTCTGCCTCCACCCACCATTATCATCTCTCCTGGAGGTGTTTTGATCCTACGGTTGAGCTTGTGCGTCCCTGTGCCTGGCTCCACTGCACTGCGACCAACAGACGTCTTGTCTGCTGCTTGGGCTTGCTCTTCGCCCAGCACTTCACTTTGGCTGTCACTGTCATCTGCTACATCATACCACAGTCGGCAGACTCCTACGGCACGTCTGTGCAGAGGATTTGACCTTGATCACCCATTCCCTCTGCAATGTCTCAGCGATTTCTTCACCCTGCTGCTGCCATAGCCCTAGCCACTGATCAGCCGCTGTTTCAAGCCCCTGGAGACTTCCCATCCAAACGGGAGATTGGCAGCTTCTTCCTGAACCAAATCTCCCCAGTCGTCTTCAACTCTGCCAGTGTCCAAGAGATAGTCGCGAATGCTCCGCACTATTCCACATGTCACTGCTACAGCGGCGTTCTGGTGTCTTCAGTGACCGGCCATCGCGTCAGAATCCAGTTCCGAGGCTCAAAGCCCAAGGTTCAGGACGTCAAGGGCCCTCGTGCAGCGCGTCATGACAAACCTCCCCCCCAAGTCCCGCACTCGGGCCCCTGCAAGCACGTGCGCATGTACCAGTCGACGTGTGTCGTTGGCACGCCGTGGACTGTCTTCAGGATAGGCCCTCCGATCTCCGGATGGGAGCTTGAGCGCCTGCCGTCCACGCTTCAGCCCGCGATGCCAAATCAGCCCCAGAACAAGGCGACGGCCATCCGAGATCTTGCACACTTCTTCACCAATCAGATCAAGAGGAAAGAAGATCTCTACCTGAAGATGGCTTCGGGCATCTGTGACTTCCGGGTGCTCTCATCCGAGGCCCAGAAGTCGCTCTATCAACATTTCCACCCGGCTTCAAAGACCTTGTCTCTTCTCCGCTGGTGCGTCGACAAGGTGCGCTTCAATCTAGAAGAGCTCCAGGAGCTGCCGTACGTCCTGTTCCACGTGAAAGCCCCTCCCTCAGAGTACGTCCAGGAGCCGCGCACCGGTCTGGTTTCGGGTGTCCTGCGATGGGACGACGTCCACTTCGAGCCCATCGGGTTCAGTCTGCTGTTCGTCGACTTCCTGCTGCGGAACCCGGCCGACTTCGCCCAACGGTCGAGCGAGGCCTTGCTCGGGCTTCCCGACTACAGCTTCTACGGCGCCCTCTTGGCCAACCTCCGCGAGGCGGGCTTTCCGTACGTCACTCCCCAGCTCCTCCAAGCCGCGAGGGCTGCCGGGATGGTGGACTTCGCCTTCAGGCATTGCATGGGGCCCGATACCATGTGGGCAAAGAACTTGCTGTTGTCCCACATGATATCCCTGGCACATGTCGAGGAGTATATGCATGAGTGACGGGCTCTGGCATTTCCCCCCGCGAGCTCATGACCCTCTATCGTGCCGCTGTCATCTTTCCCTTTTCTGGTGAGCTTTGATGACTGGTTGTTCGAGCGACCTTGCACGAACCAACTCGGCATATGCATCCTCAATCTTGTTTGGTGTCGCTTTCAGGCCAATTCTCGCGACACATCCATCGTTCGACCTGTTTTCGGTGACTTCTAGGCCACCCTCTGAGTTTTCAGCTCACCGACATCTTGGTCGATCGATGTCCCATGCAGCTTCTAGGCTTGCTTTCCGAATCTTGTTGAAATGCTCAACGGGGCCATGGGTGACGTTCAGAGCGGCATTCATCCCCCGTTGAGCTGTGTCAACATACCCATGGTTCGGCCTTTCCATGTAGCTTCCAGGCTACCCTTTGAGGATTTTCTGCTCGTCGGCTTCTTGGCCGACCGATCCTCTGCGCAGCTTCCAAGCATCCCTTCTGTGCTGGGTATCCTGTCGAACTACTGGGCAGGTGGAGCGCATAGGGTGGGTGTGTGGGTGGGTGAGAGTTTGAGTACGGCAATGGAAGATGCCTGATGCCAGACCTGCCATATCAATTCAGTGAACACAGCAGGCGGAGCGATGATCTGTCAAGCGCCTTCTAGGCCAGCTCCCTTGCTTCTCTCAACATGTTCATTGATTGAGTCTCTGGCGGCTTCTAGGCCAACCTTCTGTTTGGGCTTTCCGCTCATCGACATCTTGGTCGATCGGCCCATCAAGAAGCTTCCAGGTCTGCATTCTGTAGTCCGTTGCGGTACTCAATGGGGCGATGGATGGTTTCAGGGAGGCTTCTAGGCCGACCTGCTCTCAGTGTCTTCAGATTATCGGCATCTTGGTCGGTAGATCTCCCGAGCGCACTCTTTGACCTGCTCTCGAGATCCTGTTGACAAGCTCAATATGGCCATCAGTCACTGTCCCCACGGCTTCTAGGCCGACTCTCTTTTTTCCGTCATTTCGGCACATCGGCATCTTGGTCGGTCGATCTTCTTGGCCGCTTTCAGGTGTGCTTTTTGGGTCTTGTTGAAATGTTCGGCGTTTACATCGGCGTTTCTTCACGCAGCTTCCAGGCTTGCTCCTTCGATTTCGCCATTGCTAGAATTTCCAAGTGGCTTCTAGGCCACTTTCTTCCTCGGTTCTTTCTGGTACTCAGGCATCCCTCGAGGCGGCTCCTAGGCTACCATCTTGGGCTTTTCCTTCGACTCGACAGCATTTTTAGACCATCAGCGTTGTTAGAGCGGCTTTCAGGCTCGCTTTCTCTTCGGCATTTCCTTCCACCACATAATTAGCATCATGGAAGCAGCTTCCAGGCTCGCTTCCTCTCGGAGTCTCTCATCTACCGGGTGCATCTTTCCATTTCCTTGAGGGCGGCTTGTTCCTTAATGTCTTTCTTTACCGATCAGTCGATTGGATTTTTTTTTTCTTTGGCTAGTATTGGATAATTTTTTCCATCGGTCATTTTTCTTTTGTTTCTCCAGCATCATTAGCATCGTTGACTTGTCTCAACGTTTTCCCTTGGCTGGGTCTGGGTCTTGGTTGGACTGGGTTTGGGTTTGGGATATGGCTTGGCCGTTAGTATATATAGTCTTGGTGAAAAGTTAGTCTGGGTATGAGTCTGGGGATGGGATTTGCTTTTGGTCTTGATCATCAATCGGTCCTGGCCATAAGCTGGTATGGGTATGGGCATGGGCATGGACATAGTATGGATATGGGTTTGGAAATGGTCTTGGGTATGGGTTTGGGATATGGTCTGGCTGGAAATGGGTTTGGGTTTGGATTGGGTCATGGGTATGGTTTTGTCAGAACTGACTTGGCTTCTAGGCCGGTTCAGATGGTGTTGGATTTCGTTTGAGATTTGGTGCCATAGTTTTTTGACAATAGGATTTAATAGACCCTGGTGGAAAACTTGCATTTGCCTTCATCAACCTGAGAATCCCGTCCGCGGTGTCGGCTGTCTTGCTGTCTGACACTACAGAACAATGACAAGCGCCCTGCTTTACTAACGATCACATGTGAATTTGCCATTATCTTGCATGTGTGATGCTCTGTGCGCGGTACCGTATTGACCAATTTTTCTTTTATTTTGCCCAGGTTTCTCTTTTAGGTTTTTTCTTTCTTTAACGGGAGGCCCTTCTCTTTGCTCCGCCCTTCATCCCACAAAGCTCCAGAATTTTGGGTCTCACATCTCAGCTGTGCTGCTGGTCAGTGCCTTAACAGAATGCCCTTTCAAAACGGTCCCTGCTCTCTGCTTTGGTACTTGTACTTTGGAGTACATTGCTCAGACATGGCACGGGTTGCATTTGGGTAGCCTCCCAACGTGCCATTACCACAACCTCATTGTGTGGGCCGTGGAAACACGCATTTGCCGTTGGTTGGTCGTAGGCGACCCATGTCTACTGTGATGCGATGGTATCGCAGCATCCTTCCTGCATGCTGCGTTGTTGTGGTAGTGTTGAGGTCAGGCCATTGCACACCGGCCCGGGCGAAGGATGGCACTCTTGAGCAGGTTTTTATGCCACAGGCATGTGACGAGCCAGCGCCGAATGCAACGGTTGGTGTAGCAGCTATTCACAAATTTGTCATTCTCTTCTACACTTCCACGAGGGGGTGGTTCTATATTGTCGGGTGTCGCAGTCCGATGAAACATATTAGCTGTTGGCTATTTCCCTTACATGGCCCATTTATTACGCCGAGTCACGCAGCGCCCTACTTACGGGACATACCTGGGTATCTTACCGAGTCTCGGAAGCCGAATCCGCACATGGTGTTGGTGATAGTCAGTCTCGGTGTCGGTGATAGCCAGTCTGAGGACCGATGTGGTCGGAGATTGACTCCACGCTTGACCGGACCGCACGCCCGTATCACCTCCATCAACGTTCGCCCGTGTGGTCAGGCGCAGTGACCATTGCTACCGTGTAAGAGAGCCCTCTGACTTTTGTGAGGGGAAGTAACAAGAAGGGGTACGGGCTATTTGGCTGGGCCTACAAGCCCTCAGAGTGTGCGACGCGCCGGGAGACGATGCAGCCGGCACTCGGCCGCTGGCAGCAACGGCGATCTCCAGGGACACTCAGCCACCTCGGTGGACGCGCCTAGAGAAGCTAAACGAGCGTAGGCTTGCCGTTGTGAAAGGCTCGCACTGGCATTCGGGAGAGAAGCTCTGCTCGAGCGAGTGATCTGGGATTGACGCAGGGAGACTACCACCAAACTTTGGCATTGTGCTCAACCAGAAACTTCCTCGTTGGAAGCCTCAATCTAATATATATAATGAGATCTCATTCACAACTTCTTTCGCACAGATCCATCGGGTAGCATGTATGTAAGGCTTACGGCATGGTCATTTACTTCATCCAAGGGGTCCAAGCCATACTAGCTAGCCGCCCATGGGGGAGATAAAAAATTACCAAATGAGTCGCTGCGAGGGTATTGAGGCAGCTCTATTTTATTTAATTGACTCCTAGTGAAGAGAGCTTGGGTTTTCGGACAACATACCGTAGGTAGGTAGATACAATATGGCTGAAGAACCACCTGCATCCTGACACATGGAGGAACAGGATGCGAGTTTGTAGCCTCCCCGGCGAAGCAAGTACTTTTCGAGTCTTGAAAATTTGTTCCAAGCCATAATCAAATGCGGATGAATGAATTCCATCTTTTTACAAGGCATCCGGACGTAGGTACGTGCAGTCTGGTTTTTCTGCTCTGTCCATGTACCCATTCAAGTGGGTGACATAACATCAAACCAGTACTTCAAGCGTGCATAACAGGAGAGGCTTTGGTTTGATCTGCCGCAACTTGAACCTAGATCATTCTAAAAAGACCAAAAAAATCCGTAATATAATTCGAAAGCTAAAAGAATATTTAGACATTTTTGAGGAGTTTATATTATCTCTTATTAATATTGAAACTAAAAAGAAGGCGCAAGAATTTGGTTCTCATCTCCTATTGTATGTCACCCGGTTGCCATTTCCAGGGGGTTGTGTTAGGGGGCTGCTGGGTGTTTAAGCCAATCAGCGAGCGGCCCGGATCTGCCCCGGATGCGACTACTTACAGAGGGCCAGCGACCAGCTAAGCCCTACTAGCTCCAGCATGTCAGTGGTGGATTTAGCGTGTGAAATTGGTTATTGTAGGAAGGAAACAGCGGTGCATCATCGTTGTTCCGTCTTCATTGCAACATCGCCACCGGCGCAGACAGTTGCCCGCCATCACGGACGACTAGCACGAGTCAATTGAGCCCCTAATCCAGTTCTGGGCCTGGCAGTTCTAGATTGCGGAGAAGCCAGCCATTTACGTAAGGAATGATGCACCCCATGATCCGATTTCCCGGGGCCGACCAGGCCTGGCGACTCGAAACCTCGACGGCGCTACAGCGATGCTCTTATCAGTGGAGCCTCGAGACAGCTTCCCCAAGCGACGGCGCGGCTGGCCAATTGAAGAGCGAAGGCATTCCTGGCGACTGGGGTCGCTCTCGGAGTCGCCTGCCCTCCATCTTGGAGGTGGGCCGCTAAATCGCAATGAAGAAGCAGACTCCGGCGCAACGACGATTGCCATGATGCCCTCAAGATAAGCATGGCACGAGCTGGCCGCCTACTTATACGCTCTGACGGGCTTCAGATGCCTTCCATCGCTCACTCGCCGCTCCTCGACACAAGCCCCTGCGCGATTTTCAATCCATCCTCCCATCATGGCCGAGTCATCTGCCGCGAAATCATCCTCAAAGCTGGACGCGGAGACCAACGCGACTGCCCCGTCGAGCCATCATGATAAGCAAGACGGCGATGTCGCGCCCGCCGTCAATGCCTCCGGGCATACTCAGGAGCTGAACCGAAACTTCAGCCTCCTGTCCCTCGCAGGTATCGGCCTCATCGTGGGCAATGTCTGGCCCGGCGTGGGCGGGTCGATCCTCGTCTCCATCTTCAACGGCGGTCCTCCGGGTGTCCTCTACGAGTTCCTCGCCGTCTCCGTCTTCTACTGGAACGTCG